ATACTTATATTCATCGAAACCATCAAAGATAAACAACATTGATTTCGCTTTGTTTCGTAAAATAGCTGGATCTACATTCATGGAGTGTTCTGCTTCGTTGAGAAATTGTAGAAGTGATATTTTTTTGAATCTTTCTTCATTCAAATGTCGAAATCTAAACAAGAACACAAACTTGAATCGATTCATTCTGTCTTTGCACCAATCGCGTATGATTTTCGTGCACAACGAAGTCTTTCCGATTCCTGGACGACCGACGACGAGAATATTTCGATAAGATTTGTTGTCAGAAACAAAAAGCTCATTCATGTTACTTATTTTAACCGAAGTTTCTGGTGGTTTAAGATAGACGTCTAAGAGTTCGTGTCTCTTTTTTGACATGTCAAAGTCATGCGTGACTCGACCAGAATGCATAACAAGTTCGACATAAACATCGTCTATAGCTCTCCTATTGTCATCTTCAGTTGGATCTGTCGGTAGTAGTGGATCAAGATGCTTTGTCAGTTCCAATATCCGAGCAGCATGGTCCCTTCGCGATGAAGGAGTCCGTTGACTGTTGAAAATATGCCTTTGACAAAATTCTAAGTCTCTCATAAAAGTCTTGTCATGTCTAGCTCTAACAAGAAGATAAAACACTTCCAGCAACACAAGACATGCAAAGATTACATGCAGAATCCATATGATATTTGCCAAACTAGTTTTCTCTGCAGCAAATGAGTTCTGACAGTTTACTGACGATGAATTAGAATGCGTTACATTTAAGTTTGCGTTACTTGTTCCTTTGGAATTCCATTGACACTGAAATTGCGATGGGAAATTCGAAGAATAAAGTCCCGTTAATTGTAAAATTCCAAACAAGATCCCAAAACCAAATCGTACAAGCAACTGGAACAAATAAAAGAAATAAATACGGCGACTCCTGATTGGATAAAGTCGCTGGTTGTCTTGATTTGGTGTCAGTTCTTGTTCGATTTGTTCCACTCGAGATTTCACACAACACCAAGAATAAATAATACAAACAACAACTAAACTAGTAAAAGTCACAAATGCAAAGCCATACAGCGGTAGAGAAGCATTGTATTCTCGACTGTACTGATTAAAACACTTCGTAGTCAAGAAGTCCTTGTCAGCCAGAACACCACGGTTGTTGCATTGAAATTGTCGTCTTTCAGTCGATTTAATACCCGTTATAAAGGTAACAATGACTCCAGCCAATACATTGAATACTGCAACGATGTATCCATACACGCTGAATCGCTTGGGGAGAAGAAATTCGTTAAGAGAATCCATTTTTCTCGATGAATTTTACTGTACAGGTTTAACGAAGTATACAATTGATGGGGAGTGGCGCAACCAAAGGCAGCCCAGTAACGCGCCTAGACATTATATTTCTTTCCGGTTATTCTGAATCCAGCGCGCAGTCGTTTTATGCAGGGTCAAGGGCGTCTCACACTGGAGCCCATTATTTTGTCGGG